ACAGAGAGGTGCCCACTAACGTGCAGTGATGGCACGGCGCTGCCCGGCTGTCCCAGTGATTCTCAGGGCAGGAAATCTACCTGCAGCTCCTTGAGATTTGCAGCTGGTCCCATTCAAACCGCATTATTTCTCGCTCTGTTTTGCATACCACCATCTGCGCTGCTCCTTGCACGTCTCCATGGAGATGAAGAAGCAGGACTGGGCGATGCTGGTTCTGCTGGAGCTGGGTCCTGCAGGTCAGAACCCCACGGCCCAGCACTGAGGATGCCACGTGGCACAGCAGCATCCTGTCCTGGTGCTTGGAGTGAGCCTTGCCTGGTGACAGCAGCACTGGGATGAAGGGGGGGGGGGGGGTTCCCCAAATCTGCATGCAGAGAGGAGACAGAGTGTTTCCGTTTCCTCCTGCCCAGGCTGTTGTGCTCCTGGCAGTGTGAGCCACCAGCAAAATAACCCCAGCATTTACGTGTGGTTGAAGCTTTCGTTATTTTTCTCTCCATACGCCTAAAAACGCTTTTATCTGGCCAAAAAATCATCAGTTCCACTTTAAAAGCACGTGTCAAACTGATGCCCTCTGCATCCAACACCCGTGCACTGAGCCTGATGCACAGCTCCATCTGCTCGGCTGTTCCTCACTGCTCTGTCCCAGCACTGGGGGCTGCTGCAAGCGCTGCTGTTGGGGTTGGCCCCAACCTCATTTGGAGTCCTGGGTTTGCTGCCACCACAGAGATGAAGGAAAAAAAAAAAAAAGAAGAGAAAAATGGTTGTTCCAGCGGCATCCCTTCGTGGAAAGCTGGGATGAATGGCACAAAGCAATGCAGCTCCATAGAGGTCGGGGTATTACAATGGCTGACAGCCACAGGGAGGGCAAAACCTGCACAGAGATCTTCCAGAGTGTGTTCTAATGGCACGAAGCAGCCTTTCAGCCCTTACTTAGGGCTGTCAGATGGTGGCACACCATCCTGGTTACATCTGCACTGCTCCTCCGTATCAGCCCAATGAGCCTCCCAGGGAAACATCTCTCTGCTTCCCTGGCTTTCTGGATAATGGCTCTCCCACACATCTGCAGCTCTTCATTCTGACTGCCTGCTCACAGCAAACTTTGGCCCGCAGCTCTCAAAGCAACGCATCCTGGGGAGACTGCACCACATCCTGCTTTACCAACGGGGGAACTCAGGGGCAGAGCAGTCAGACAGCTCAGGGGGGGTGTGGGGTGAGCAGCAGAGGCACGTTGGTCCCCTGCCTGCTCCTTCTGCTGTGGCAGATGTGAGCTGCACTTGGGGACATCCCCACGTCCCCCTGCAGCTGCTCACTAAAGGCTGCTGGTTCCTATGTGAGAATTACACCTGCAAATCCCCACAGCCTGGAATTGGGGATGTCTGAGCAACAAATTGTCCTTGCTATAGAAGGGTTTGAAGCTAAAAAGCCCACAGCTTTCAGGCCTGCTGTAAGTACTTCTAAAATCAAGATAAGCTCAGCTGCTCTCTTCCTGCTGCCAGCGTTGGCCAGGTGCTGCAGTTTGCACCTCCAGGCGCTTTCTGTGTGAGCAGAGAGGACGTGAGGACAGGAGTCTGTCCCTCAGGGCTGCTCCTTGGTGCGCCCTTCCCCGTGCTCTGCGTCTCCCTGCATGCATTTGCTCATGTCTGAGCTGCCCAACCCGTGCCTGCAGCTGGGCAGGAATGAAGGGCTGCGGATGCTCAGGCCTCCAGGAGGGCACTGCGCTGTGTCCGAATTTCTCCTCTCCAGCCCTACCTTCCCACTCTCTCCCTCAACCCTCCCCACGCAGGCCAAGCCAGCATCACCCCCCCAGCCCCCCCAGGATCATCAGAAGGGCAGCAGCTCTCACTCCTCCATCCTCCCTCCGTGCTCCCAGAGCCGAGCAGCGCCCACAGCCCCCGCTGCACCCAGCTCTGCTCTCCAAGCTCAGGCACTGCAGGGTTGCGCTGCCGGCACCATGAGTTGCAGAATTGCAGCTCCATGGAGGCACGCAGAGCTGCTGCCGGCTGCACTGTGGGCCAAAGCCTGCAACGAGCAGAGCGCCGGCGGAGGGCTGCGGGGGGGGCTGACTGCTCACAGCAGGGAGGTGACATTTCCATTTGACTCATTCGAGTCTCACTGTGACTGTCTGACCGCTAACACGGGGCTTTTGGAGTGCAAACAGCCCCTCCGTTCCTCCCACCTCCCGTACATATATATGCTTATTCCCACTCCTATAGATATGTATGCCTATTCCCACTCTTCCAATTACCCCAAAGGAAGCCAATGTCTTTGTTTTTTAACCCTGCCCCAAGGTGATGTAGTGTTACCCCCTGGCTAAACCCATCTCAGGGCTGCCTGCAGCCAAGAGCATTCCAAGCAGGTTCCCCTACGCCATCCCCGTGCCCCCGGTGCACTGGTAGCAACACTGCAGCACAGCAGCACGGGGCTGGGAGCAGCCACAAGTGTCAGCCTCAGGGCTGCCCCGGGGTGCCTCAATGCGCAGTGCGCGATGGGGGGATGCAGGGGGCTGCCCTTTGTAGGAGGGCTGGCTCCGGGGCTTGGCTCTCTGGTGCTGCTCCTGGTTCGCCAGCAGCACGTTTTTCTGAGCGTGTTCCCATCAGAAAGACAAGGACACCCACTGCTTTAAAAGGTGCAGGCACCAGCTCGCTCGCTATTTCAAAGCATAGGAGAAAGTCCTGCTAAGTTTCACAGAAGCCAGCTTCTAGCATCAACCCAACCGTGCCGTTGGCTCATCCCAGCCAGGCCGTGGCTCCCTGCTCTTCCCCCTCACCTCACAAATGCCCACACACACACACACACACACATGCACGTGCTCTGGAACGACTTCTATGACTTACATTCCCTGGTCCCCGTAGTGATTGTAGAATTCCATGTGGCTGCACGCCTGGATCCAGCCCACGATCCACGTCTCCTTCTTGGGGATGGGGGGCACCAACACCTGCGCCGAGGCGCGGAAGTGCGGGGTGCGGTAACGCAGGACCACGCTGGAGGACTCGTCGATGCTGGTGGGGATGGGATCGATGGAGGCTTTGACTTCAATCACCGAAATACTTTCCCGGAAAACTTTGGATTTGCAGCTAATGCTCTGAATACAGCCCATGGCATACCCGGAATACAGTCCGACGCAGCTCCTCGGGTACTCCAGCAATCCTGGGGAATATTAGGCATTGAAATTATCGGGTGCGAGATCAATTACAGATCTTGGTGCGTAACCTCACAAGTGGTATCCATAGGATAGAAAATTCATCGCGCAGAGCCTTGCCGTGGTGCCTTCATGTGCTGCCCGTCCTACAAACGCCGCTCCTGCCCTGGAGGTTCGCTGTGCTCCACGAGCCAAAGGGCCTTGCAAATTGTTCCCCTTTTAATGACCCTTTAAATCTCTCGCTCGGTCTTTAGGTTAGAAAAAAAAAAAAAAAGTCTCTCGAGTTCAATAAATCCCGGTGCTGCTTTAGCTGATATATTTAGTCCTTCCTTTGCTCAGATGCGGTCTGTCATTCCCCGTCAGGCGTGGGGCCGGCCGGCATTTCCCTTTATTCTTTGGATGAAAAGCAGAATGTTGATAGACACATCTATATAAATAATGAAATAGTTTGGAGCCCCAGCTTGTCACAACCGGTGTGGATTTCCACTTCCTGACTCGCAGTTGTTCACAACTTCCTTTCGCACAAAATTACAATAATAACAGAAAGAAGAAAAAAAAAATATATATATATATATATATAAAATAATAAATAAATAACCCGGCACCAAACCTCAAACCCGACGGGTGGAGAAAAAGCGACAAAGTGCGTTTTGGAGCTTCCTCCGCCGTCTGGTTGGCTGTTTTTTCCTCGTTAGAAATAGCCGGAGCGCTCCGTGCCGGGGGGCTGCGCGGAGGGCAGCGGCACAACTCAACACCCCGCACCCCCCCTCCGCGCTGCCCCCCCCCGCCCCCCCGGGGCCGCTCAGCAGCGCACAATCGCCGCCCGTCACATCCCCGGCGGCGGCGGGGCGGGTTGGGGGGGAACCCCGCGGTCCCCCTTCCTCCTCTTCCTCTTCCTTGAAGCGAGCGCTGTCCGCAGCCGTCCGACCTTCCTCCCGCTCCTCCTCCTCCTCCTCTTCGCTCTCAGCCGGCGGCGCTCATGGGGCCGCCCCGCACCCGCGTGCGTTCCGCGGGGAGCAGCTCCGGGCCGCGGCCGTGCGCCGAGCGCTGCGCGGGGGCGCCGAGCGGCGGTGGCGGCGGAGGGGGGGGTGGAAGGAGGGAGGGGGGGGGTTGGGGTGGAGGCTCCTGCGCGCTGCCGTGCGATCGGTGAGAGATTTTTATTTATTTATTTATTTGATTTCTTCGCTTCTTCTCTGCTAAATGCCCGCGGAGGTGAGAGAAGCAGAATCGGTGCCTCCGCCTCTCGGCTGTCGCAAGCTTCCTCTCTCGCAATACATTCACGCATACGGGAACGACGCCGGTTCCCCCCCACCACCCCCCCCTTTCCTCCCCCCCCCCCCGCGGGGTTCCAGCCTTTAACCGCGGGGGGGGGCGGGGGGGGGGGGGGGGGGGGGGGGCACCCGCAGCAACCGCAACGTTTCGGCCGGGTCAAACTTTGCGGCAAAGTGACCCGAGCCCCGGCCCCGCGCGGCTCCGACCGCAGCCCCGCAGCCACATCGCGCTCCGGAGCGCAGCGCAGCGCAGCGGCTCTCCGTGCCCCGCACCGCCCGCCCTGCAGCGCTCAGCCCCATCCCTCCCCCTGCATTTCGCTTTTAAACTGCAGCTGTTGAAGCTAAACCTCCTTTGCAGAAACAGCATTTCCTCCCACGTGGCCGTGAATTGTGGGTAATGTAGTTTTTGTACAAATAAAGGGTAGGGGCTTTTTCCTCCTTCGTCATCTTCCTTTTTTTTTTTTTCTTTTTCTTTTTTTCTTTCTTCCCTCCTTCCTCCCTTCTTTTGTTACCTCCTCCCCTCCTTCTTTTCTTCCTTCCTTCCCTCTTTCTCTCCTTCCCTTCCCCCCTCCTTCCTTCCTTCCTTTCTTCTTTCCCTCTCTCTCTCCCTCTTTTCCACCCTTCCTCCCTTCCTTCCTTCCCTCCTTTGCTTTTTCTCAGCTCAGATGCAATGTGTTTTCTCACAGTATTGGTGAAGGTTTTTCTCCCAGCTGGTCGATTCACTGAAGGGATGCTCTCCAAACCTGCAGCCCTGGTTCAAGCAATGGGAACGCAAAGCTCTCTGAGCAGCAGCTGGGGCAGGCAATGGGAGAGCCAGAGGCCGCAGTGCGCTGGGTACTGAGGATAACTTTAGGAGTCGGTGCCACCCAGCAGAGCTCAGCACCAGGTGTGCACACATTGGGCAATAGCTGCTGTGTGCTGAGCGTCGCACACCTACCTTGATGCTCTCCTGAAGGGGAAACCCCCTGCGCTGAGAGCCAAGAATTATTTTGCGCTGCTCGCAGTGCTGCACGGCTGCCTGGAGCTGAGGAAACTCCTGTTACTCCTTCGTGCCCCGCGCTCACTGCAGACTCAGCACCTTGCAACAGCAAACTCAGCATTTTCCAATATCTGTGCGCTTCTTGTCTGGCCTCCAGCAAAGATGGGAGCCACGAGGTGCTCCTGGCGAGGGAATGCCACAGGCAGGGCAGATTCCCTCCTGCTGCTCCTGCTGGCTCTGAGGTCCTGGGGTGCTCCTGCCCATGCGTGCCTGGGAGCTCTGCTCCGTCCCTGTGCACCTTGCAGCTGGGTGCTGCCCTTCCATGCAGGGTGTGCACCGAAGACCTTTGTGCCAATGATGTGGCAGGGAGTGCAACCATTGCCGTGTATTGTTACGTTGTTCTTCCTATGTTTCTCAGAACGTCAGCTAAATATTTACCTGCTTGAAACTTCTCAGGATGTCTGTGAAGGGTGCCGTTACCAGCCTTGAAACAGAGGGAAAAACTAAGAATGAGTCCAGGAGGTGCAGGAAAGAATGAAATGAGCATCTCCCAATGAAAAATCCAGTTTCTTCAGCAACCTCCAGAAGGTGCTGAAATACTTTGACATTTTCCAAGACTCTTTCACACCTTTCAAACAAGCTTGTCACAGTTTCTCAGAGCATTATGAATTTGGTGAAGCTGCATGTTCTGAGATCCCAGCTCCTCTCTAGTTTCACCCCTGCTTTGCTTCAACTTGGCATTCTCCCATGTTCTGGTCGACTAGGAAATGGCATTATCTCACTCTAATTAAATCAGCTTTTCATCTTCAGCTGGAGTTTGCTTCAGTGTTGGCCACGCCTGCCTCCGCTGCTCCGGTCAGTGTGATTGAATCACTGTGCCTCATGCAGAGTGGTTGCTGTGCCTTGCTGGTGGAGTTGTTTTTTGAGGCCAAGTACCAGCTGGGAGGAGCTGGTGATGCTGGGGGTTGCTTTCCTTCCACTGTGCGCTTGATGCTCCATCCATCACTGCCCTGCAGTGTGGTCCCATCAGCCTCGTGCTTTCCAGGCTTGCTGAAAGGCAGATTCTCCTTTCCTATGAAAGAGAACAGCCCCACTGATGGGACACTGCTGCTCTCCTCTCCTGCTCTGCTCTCACCACGAGCAGCGCGTGCTTCCTTCACGCCTGTCACATTCTGGCCCCAGTGTGTGCCATGCAGAGCAAAGCCCCACATCCACGAACGTGTCAGAGGACAGACAGGCACCAGATGAAAGCAGCTCCCAGTGCTTGCAGAGTATTTTTTCCCAGTGACACCTCCCGAGGAACGTGCTCAGTAATAGCTCAGCATCCCCAGCAGGGGAGGGGACAAGAGGTGACGAGCCAAGCTGCTCTATTTCTGCAGGTTCCTGGCCACCATCACATTAACTCTTTGCACACAGATGCTTGCAAGGAGCCTTGCACCACAGCAGCCCTGCAGCAGGTGGCATCGAGGTGTCCTCGTGGGCTGCCTCAACCCCAACAGAAATTCCTGAGGTGGAAGGAGCTGCACTGATGTGTTGGGAAGGAGGGGAAGAGCTCTTCCCGCAGCCCACAGGCGCTGTCACATGCTCGAGATAGGCTCCTGGAGGATGTGATTCAGAAATAAGTTGATGTGTGTTATTTTCCTTTGATTCATAAGCAAAACCCAAGAGGGAGTGAGGACTCCAGCACGGATTTGCTGGCCCAGCATGGCAGTGTGGGTGTCAGATGGGCACAGTGTGCGGCTCAGCTCGAGGATTTGGAGAACCACAGACAAGAAGCACAAAGTTCTGCTTGCTGCCTCACAAAGCCAAGAACCACCTTTAATTTAGCACTCAGGCTCTGCTGTACATTTTGTATAAGGCTTTTAAAGAGACACGGGTGCTGTTTCACAGTGTTACCCATACTAACACTGACCTTTATGACTCCTCATTCCTATGGGGAAGCAGCAGCACGGATCCAGGAGCGGTGCCCATTCTGCTGCCTGGTGCCACGCTCACCTTCCCCACCTCCCTCTGCGGGACCCCAGGACTGCAGCGCTGCCATGCTGGGGCTGATGCCACCACTGCTGTGTGCAGCTCAGGGACGGGCTCTGCTGTCACCTGCTCTGAGCGCGGGGTCTGCGATGCGATGCGGGATGACACGGCAGAAAGGCGTGCTGTATTTAGGGCACGCTCAGCGCCGGGGGCAGGGGGATGGGAATTCATTAGCAGCGCAGTGTCTCTTTTAATCAGAAGGTGCTGCTCGGCTGGGGCGGGAGGCAGGGCAGCGATGGATGCCGTGCCAGGGAGGGGATGGGGCTGGGGGTGTTTGCAAGGCGTTCACATCAGGGAGAGGGAAATGTTATTGAGAGTGCCCCTGTGGGGAGGAGAGACAGAACAGAGCGGGCCGGGAGGGATCCAGGTTGTGCCCTTTGCAGGGTAGTCACTGAGTGATGCCCAGTTTGGAGGCTGCACTGACTGCCGCAGTGCTGGTTGCTCCCAGCACTGATGCTCTCTTCCATTGATGATGCTCTGATATTAAAATGTGAATTACACTACCAAAAAAAAAAAACAACAAAAAACCCTAACCAAACTACATTTCCCAGTTTCCCTTGCAGCTCTGGGAAATAAGCTATTGGAAGATTTAAATAGACCAGGCCAGAAGCAACCAACCTTTGGCACAAAGCATTTCCCTCCTCTTCTTCCAATCTATTGGCTGTTTAACCTTTTTCCCTGGCACTGGAGTGGCTGCCAAGCCTGGCATTAATTTTCCTTCCAAGCTTGCTAGGCCCATGAAGTAAACAGCCATGTGCATTCCTTACTCTATATTTAACAGCTGCAGACTGTGCTGGGGGCAACTGCAACAGAGGGGAACCTTTGTAGCTTCCCAAATTCACAGCTCGTGAGGGTGGGCGTGGGGAAGATTTCTGCAGGGAGAAGAGGGATTTCTCTCCTTCCCGGTATTTGCAAAGCAGTTCAGTTAGAGAAAGACTGCAATGCCAGCATCCCAGACTCGGTCCAGAGCGCGAGACAGGAACAATGTCCTCAACAGGGCTGAGTTCCTCTCCTTGAACCAGCCCCCGAAAGGGACCCAGGAGAGCAGGAGCTCGGGCAGGAAGCAGAGCGGCCAAACAGCGGCGGCCGGAACCCAGAACAGCAGCCCCAAGGAGCGGAGGCAATCGCAGCAGCTGCCCGAAGAGGACTGCATGCAGCTCAACCCCTCCTTCAAGGGAATCGCCTTCAACTCCCTGCTGGCCATCGATATCTGCATGTCCAAGCGGCTGGGGGTGTGTGCCAACAGAGCCTCGTCTTGGGGGGGTGCCCGCTCCATGATCAACCTGCTGGGGATAACGGGGCACGGCATCCCCTGGATCGCAGGCACGCTCATCTGCCTGGTGAAGAGCAGCACGCTGGCGGGCCAGGAGGTCCTCATGAACCTGCTGCTAGGTGAGTGGCAAAGCCCCATCCCAACAGGACTGCCCAGCCCCGCTCACAAGGGACGGTGGCACTGGGGCTCCTCCTCTGGCTGCTCCCACCGCGATGTCGCAGTGACCTTTCCGGGGAACGCTGTGCTTATTGGCTGCCTTGGCAGCTTCGTGCTGCTCCTGGGTGCTGGGGGTGATGGATGTTGTCGGTAGGGGTGCAGGGATCCTGGTGGATGGCCATAGCGATAGAGCAGCCCTGCACAAGGCTTGGGTTGGTTTAATAGGGCCAAGAAAGTGTCTGTGAGTGCAGGTGGACGCCAACGGTCATGGTGTTGATTTATAGCCATCAGCCCTGGTGGTTTGTTGAGTTGGGGAAAACATGAATATTGTAAATTTGATATGTGGATCAGAGCCGTAGGAAAATAAACAACAAACATTTCCATCCCCTCTGCTCCTCTTTGAGCGGGCTCAGGCTCCACAGCTCAGCAGCCGCCTGATGGAGTCCTGTCTCGTTTCTTGCTGTGATTTGATCTCACATCCTTCATCCCAGGAGGGCCTTTCTTGCTGCTGTCCTCTTTTCCATGCGCTCATTTCACCTGGTGGCCATGAGCGCAGCTCTGATCTCTCTGGCTCCCCTCTTGGTCCTTTACTTGAGGTCGATCATGGCAGAGCAGCCAATGTCCCAGCCATGACCAGGCCCCACATCTGGGTCCCACATCCAGACCCCTGCCCACCCTGGCTGTCTCCCCCTAGGTCCTCCTCTTCCCTCCCTTCTGCCTTTGGCCTGCAGCCTGGTGATAGTGGCTGTGATCACCCCAAGCTCTTCACCCTCTCCAAAAACAGGCGTGCAGAGCTCGCACTTTCAGTCAGCACAAGGGTTGAAGGCATTAGATTTAGGCCTTTGTTTCTCAAGGAGCACTGTGAAGGGTCACAGCAAGGCTTTATTTCAGCAGTGTGTGCTGTATGGGTGCTGCAGCGCAGCTCAAGTTTTTTTTCCAGAAGTTCATCCTTCAAGGAGGGCAAAGATTGTGCTGAACCAATTTGAAAAGCACAGTTGTAGCTTCCCTGTTCTCCCCTCTGCCTTTGAAGAGGCTGTCCTCGTGCTGTGACATCCAATGAAGGGACGCCATGGTGGGGAGGAAGCCAGAATAGCATCGGCGTGATGCAGGGCCGCCAACGTCAGCACTTCTTCCCCAGGCCGCTCAGTGCTCCGGGTCAAAACCCTCGCTGAGAAAAGAAGCTCCATCTGAAAGGGCACAAGGATGAAATAGGAGGCAGCCAACATCAGCCGGCACAATTTCCAGAGGTCTCTTGACCTGAGAGGCTCCGACAGTTCTGGGGCCTGAAAATCCACCTCTTTGAGTCCAACATATTTGAGATCTTTATGAAGAGTTCACGCCACTTTTGGCTTAAAACCAAGGAAAGCCTTCTTGCTCTTCCATTGCCATCCAGGAGGCCAAATGCAAAGGCAGCTCCAGGCTGCGCTGACCAAGGTGCCTGCAGCCTCCCAGCAGAGCTCTCCAGGCAGCACTTGTGTTGCTCTGCAGAACAGGATCTCTGCAAGCGTGGCCTTGGGTTGATATCTGAGATTGCAGTCAGGAGCTCCTAATATCGGAGCGGCTGCTGCTGGAATGCCTGCATTGCTGATGGATGAAGGAGTTCAGCAGGGGAGCTTGGGGCTCAGACCCCAAGAGGAAAGCATCCCTTTCTGTGTGTGACAGTGCTGCTGCATCTGGCATCCTGGCTCCCTCTCACTGTTGTTTTCCTAGGATTGAAATCCAGCAGGTCAGCAGGGACAGGTCAAAGGGAGAAGGGAAGCTTGCTGGTGCTTTGCTGGGCTCCTGGAAGCAGGGAAGCTGGGGTTGTCTGCAGCACCCCATCTTTACCTCCCCTGGCTCTCCACCCTTCCCCCTGGCTTGCTCAGGGTTTGATACATAGAGCAGAATTTCTGATGCAGTCTCTGGGCAGGCAGCCAGCCCATCATAGAGCACTTGTTTAGGATTTGCAATCAGGCTTTCAAGGCGAGGAGACAGGAGACTGCTGAAATGGGACCAGGAACCTGGCAGGAGCACCACTGCAGATGGAGGGGGGGAACTGCACTGGGGGATCTTGGTAGGATCTGTGCCAAGAAGAGTGGGAGCATTTAGGGTGAGGGCTTCTGACCTCTCTCCCTGGGACACGCCATCCATCCTGACTGCTGATGTTGATTAGCAACCCCCAGCAATGTTTTCCCTCCGCGGTTGTCATCTGTGATGGAATTTATTGATTCTCCTCCTCATCGTAATCTTTTTTCCAGCAAATGCCAAACAGAGAAGCACGATCTCAGCCTGTTACTGAAAAGATGGAAGAAATCGGCTATCTGTGCCCACTGTCAAAATCATTCTGCCAGAATGTGCTTTCAGGAAGACTGCCTTGGTACTGCCAGGCCTGGCTGTGAAGGAGTCAGGAGGAAAGTCTGCTCCCCCTCTGCCTCACTGCAGAAATCAGAGCTTGGGAAAGCTCCCAGCTAAAGCTCGCTTTATCTGTGTGGCACTGTTGGAATTTCAGGGCCAGTCAGGCTGTTCTTTGCAGTCACAAGAATCTCGTGGAAACTGAAATGCTTAGAAAACCATTTGAACCTTGCAACTGGGTTTTCAGAGGGAAAGCAGGTATAAAGCTGTCATCGCTGGAGCTTCTCTAGAACCAGGCAGAAGAGCTGTTGAACTCTTGAGGGAAAGCAGTGCCTTGGTTTCTGGTTCTGATCCATCTGGAGAGAGCGTGGATCCGAACGCAGTGATTCATTGGCTGCTAAGCCAGCAAAGAACGTTTGGATCACTGATCTAACCCACAGCAAAGTACAGGCAATCCCTGAATTTATTCCTGTTCAATTTGCTAAGGGAAAAAACCCAAACACTCAATCAGACGTAAGATTTGGAGTGGCGCTGAACTTGTCAGAACCATTTCTGTATCACAGAATACAGAATGCAGGGGTAGCTGATCTCACAAGTGCATTGCTCTTAGTTTGACTGCTCCCTGCCCTCCGTTGCCTCCGCACACCATTGTCTCTTCAGCTGAATAGCTCTTTTATCCAGCATCCCTTCTGCCTTTCAATATTTTGGACAGTGCTCAAGTCGCCTCTTCACCTCCTATTCATTAAGCTTAACAGACTGATCTCGTTAGACTGATTGTCTTTCCAGATTTGAGCACCTTCATAGAGTAAGGAGGGATGGAATATGGTGATCTACCATAGGGAGGCCAGGACTGTTTCTGCAGGCCTGGAGGTCAGCAAGAATTCAGTCCACGCTCTCCCCGTGGATGCAGATCCAGCATTAGTCCAACTGGGAACAAAGCCATAACACTGTGAGGCACATCGCCCTGCAGAACGGCGACTTCATTCTGAGCCCTATATATATGTATTTATAAATACATACAGAGAGATCTCTGGAGGCCGTCATGCAGCCTCCACACAAGAGCAAACTGCCAGGAAAGTGGTAGTTTAAGGGAAAATGAAGAAAGAAATGCCTT